GGTCATTGTAAAGGCGAGATATGCATTCAATCACCTCTAAACGACGCTTGATGAAGTCGAATGCATGGGGTATTTCCCTCCGCACCCCTCAGGGATTGATCAACGCCGAGAGCTTTATCCCTTATCCTTTTTATCTAACGCAATAGGATGTGATTTCTATTTTAGGGTCGATGTGTTGTTCTTCAACAGCAATGGCTATCTTATCTCTACATCCATATTTTCATGGTGCATTTTATTACTTTATTTACATTGTAAGTAAGGTTTTACGTTGGGATTTCGCTTCGTGTACACATTTACTTACTTTGACTAGCGTTAGTGATGAAGAATTATGTAATATTCGCTAAGATACCTTTCATTACTCAAATATTTAAATGGTTCCCAGGATCGACTTTCTCTTAACCTCGGCATTGGAATATGAATGTGTCGTTTTCTTGTTCAGCAATCGCGAGGTTTTTAAACAGCGCACATTCACTTCCACAAGAAACCACAATGCAATACAACGCTAGCTGACGTTTCGGCAGTATCGCCTTCTTCAGAGCCTGGAAGGGCATGCTGATATACAATCTACAAGGCAATGGAATACAACGCTAGCTGACGTTTCGGCAGCATCGCCTTCTTCAGAGCCTGGAAGGGTATACTGATATACAATCTACTAGGCCAAACGCTTCAATAACACTTACAAAAAAACGAAAACTCTTTGGTAATTACATGATCAACAGCTTCTCGAAAAGTCACCGCTTTTTTTCGTGACTTCCAATGAGGAAGTTTAGAACAGCTGATTATAGTCGCATGTGATTGACGACTGCACCATCCCACATCGAAAATTGATGCGGACATAAGGGATCAGGTCGCGTATGACCTCCGGGCATTCATCCCTGCTATTCATTGTAGGGTTTTTGGAATTTATCCAGAAAGCCTCAAGAAGTTTTCGCGCTGGTGATTTAGACTCCTGTGCAAGGATATTGACTTTTGCTTCAAAATCGTCTCCGTTATGCTTTTGTATCCTATGCGTGCCTAGTGGAGTGCTTCGTCTTAGTTTTCGTTTGCCATCTAGGTGTTCTTTTATACGGATACACAAAGGTCTGCCCGTTTCGCCAATATATTCATCTCCGCAATTGTTACAAGAGATCAGGTATATCGTACCTAAACTCATGCAATCACCGTCCCTGCCTGCCGTAAGGGCAAATTATGCAATTTGTTGTTTCACACAGACGGTCGTACAGGCGGTTACGAACTAACTGACGACATAGAGTTGCCGGTGGTATTTCAACTATCGCTACCGATTCCTCTAGACCTGCCCTTCTTAAGCATCGTTTTATAGCTACGCTTACTTCATCGCTTATAAAAGGCAACATAAACGGGATTTTCTGTTGGCCAAGTGTTTCGCGTGGGCGCGTCGTTCTCCTTGTAACTTATCTCGTGGGGTTACCATTTCGTAGCCATTGGAGATGGCTATTTGCCGAGCCAAGTCGCGCGACTCTTCCTTTAGTTCCTTGGTAGTGCACGCAGAGGTGGCTGTTCGAAACATGTTTCTCACAATCGCCCTCTTTGTGTGTGAAGGGTGGGAAGAAAGGAAATGAACAAGAATGTTCTTGTTACTTGGCTTTCGATACCACTTTGTCAGGTAACCGCTACTTGATAAGTTTATTTGAACGTCCAAAAAGCCAGTTTTTTCTCGGTTTCTCCCGGGTGAACTTTATGTACTCGGATTGCTCGTTCAATAATTCAAAGCATTTGTCCATCTCCTCCTGCGTAGAGAAAACGACAAAGCAATCATCTACATATCTGCAGTAGAGTAATGGCCGGAGATCGAGAACAGGGGCTTCTATCTTAGACATAAACACAATGGCCAGGCTTGGTGCCAATCGCTGTCCCATTGCCAACCTCCTTATTTGTGCGAAATATTTCCCAGACCTTCTGAAAATCGAACAGTTTAGGCACTCCTTTAAGAGAGCCATTAGCTGCTGGATGGACAAGCCATGCATATTTATTCTTCCTTCATGTTCAACAAGAAGTTCGTAGATGGCTTGCATTGCGGAGTCATTCGATACGTTGGTGTACAGTGCGGTAACGTCGAAAGACTCCATTACGTACACGTTATTAGGAGACGCGTTACGTAGACGTTCTAGGAACATTTGGGTGTTTGTGAGGTGAGCTGGAATGTGATTAAGCAACTGGTAAGTATCAGGCTTAAAAACCAGGTTATTCTATCCGTTGGCCCCTCTGCACAGCTCATGATCGGTCTAACCCTAAATGATGACGGATTGTTTGACGCACGACCATCAGGTGATACCAAGTTATGTGTTTTAATAAGTAGGTATAGGACGGAACATGTTGGTTTATCGATTTTAAAGTGCGAAATAACCGATGATTTTAAACCCGCAGCCTTTGCCACGCTGACCCATTGATTGTTTAGCTTTCGGTATTGACTTTTATGTTCCTTCTCAGAGGATGGGCGATAGAGAGTAGCATCATTAAGATGTTCCTCTGTTATCTCAACTTCCAGCTGGCGAGGGATAACTACGAACTCTCCCCCCTTATCACTAACAGACAATTTATTGTTTTCGAGTTTATTAATTCTCTAATTTCCCGCATGCCACATTTTTGCGCGGCTGTAAGGTTAGAGATAAACTTTCTATCGCTGTAGTGATCAAGGGTCTTGAGAACGCCGTCCGAAAACACGCGGAATTTTATGTCAACTCCATCGTTAGGGTCCTGTTGTCTAAAGAACGTTTTTGGGAAACTACCACCTGACTACCACCAAACTACCACCCTAACTATACTGCCGAAACGTCAGCTAGCGTTGTATTGTATTGTGTTTTTCTATGGAAGTAAATGTATGCTGTTTAAAAACCTCGCGATTGCTGAACAAGAAAACTACACATTCATATTTAAATGGTATTTTTATAAATTCCTTGAACGAACATTTTATATAAAATTAACGCCGTGGGTGGCGTAGTGGTAGTAATACCGTTCTTTACGAGCGAGGGTGCTGTTTGATCCCCTCCTCGGCTTACCAAGGCTCTGATTCTTCCGTCGTCGCGGAATTGCGACGAGAGTTGACTGGGAAAAGTTCACTCTAATGCAGTCTAACTAGGAATGCTCAGGACTTGCTATCCGAGATTTCCGGAGAGAATTCAATCAGCCAGCATCAAATGACACTCATGACGAAAGGGAATTTTCTCTCAAGCAGCAGTGGAACCCACACACAAAAAGTGTGAAGATCTTCATGGGTGATGGATTCAAGGAAACGAGTCGAATGCAATAGGTGTTGGCATCCGCACAGTAGATGTGAAGTTCCGTCGTGTAAAAGAATATAAAGTCTGGATGATGTTACCATTGCTATTACAACGTACAACGACGTTAGAAAGTTCGTTCTGTTGCATTTATTTGTTGGTTTATTTGGACCTGTGAAAATATACTCGACTTTGTACCAGTTAACAGCTGATACGATGAAGTTTTTTTCATAGATGAATTTAGTACGTAGGCGTGGCCGTGATCGAATATTCGATTATTGCACCGAGAATCTTGTAGGTTCGCAAAGAAGGTGAGGAAATCGACTACGGTAAAATGACAACCAGAGAAAAGTTGACGAGGGCTATACGAAAAGCCGCAGAAGGTCTTCCACCAACAGTGTTCTTGGGAAGACGATAGTGATCAGCAGATTTGTATTTGTGGTTACATGTGAACCATCTGACGAGCTTTATTAAGTTTCTAAGTGTTATCTTACTTTCCGTCTGTGAACTTTACTAAGTAAAATGCCTTTGTCAAGTGTAATAAATACTACTAGATGTTCGTCACTTGTAAGAAATTGTGACAAAAAGATCACGGAAGCGTACTATTAGTACTACACATCCTCCTATGGACCACAATAGGATTCTAATAGATTCTACCAAAGTCTGCATTCATTCCTGTCGATTGCTAGAGTTGCAGTGTGGTATTCTACTCGTTGAGGAAGCACGACCATATCGCATCGTTCGTTCAAGATTCTCATGAAGGATCTTAACGATCGATAAAACGACAATCTAACGCCAGCGACCACTTGAGAATTGCGCGCTGAGATGTGAATGCTTGTTGAAGGCTACTATAACCTAATTATTAACAGAACAATTTTTATAGAGCAAGCTAGGTTATGAATACAATAAAACACTGAACAATCTCTATTCATCGTAAGACCGACCTTCAATTTACTTCGACATTAATGAATGAGATATTCTGTTGTTACGAATTGCTTTTTATAAGCTGAGAAAAAGTTGTCAGCACGTATTTTTGGCCTAAGGTGACTAAAATTTCAAAGATTTCGTCTTTTTTGGAGAAGTTTCCGCTTTACATAAAGCGAGTCTACTTCAGATAGAGTGATAAAAATCGGTCTTCTTAAAGCCGATGATAATGCGACACGGTACAATCTCTTAATTCAGCGAATTTCAATGCGATTTCATACTCTCCTCCTAGTAGTTTATCAGTCCTGCCGGGCATGAGATGGTTCCAGTAAAGCTTCTTGATGACTGATAGTACCATAGACTGAGTGATAGTTTCCGATGACGTGTAGGTATTGGTTTCTATGCAACACGACGGTTTTATCCTTTGGTTCCACGGAGTTTGTGTCGCATATTGTAATAGTAGCTTATTCTTTGTGAGCTATGCAAAAAGTTCACTGTTTCTTTTTGGAATTATCAATAATGTAATAATCTTCTTATCGATATTACATAATAATGTAAAGTAAACAGCTGAAAAGGAGAGATGACAAATGAGGATCTTAGATGTGATTTAGAGTATTACATAACCTACAAGTATTGTAATAAAGTCTCTATGTCTTGGTGGATTCATGTCTTAAAGAACTTGCTAGCATAGCCACAATGACAAAAATGGTTATCTTAATACATGTACATCAGCTGGATCGATAGTCTGAACATCTTTTCAGATCAGTCGTTATTCTATGGCACACACAACTAATTACAATATTACAGTAGAATAGGAAGAACAGCGCAATAGCAGTACAATTAAACATATCTGGATCGATCGAAATCGATCATAAATTCAGCTAATCGTCGACTAGTCTGTCCAGGAGACGATTCGGCCATGCAAGCTGAGGTTTGAGATTGAGCTGGAGGTGGTTCGTACAATGGCGATGTGAACGACACCACTGAAGTGGCCGGTTGTGCATCCACAACGTCTGTTAGCGGTGGAATCGACGATGGAGATGATGAAACACGACGCTGCGAATCAGAATAGGTGGTTGTCGTGTCGTTCTCAGATTCACGAAGGTATCGTAATAACGCTACTAAAAATCTAACTTCAGAAAAGGCTTCTAAACAGATTGAAGAAATAGGTGAAACTCTGAGGTACGAGATATGAGAATAACTTCGAGCCCAAACAAGTTATCACCAAACGAGAAGATCCAGTTCATCCAGAAAATAACTTTTTACGTGGTCGAACAAATATTTCATGTCTTCTGAATCGTCCGTATAGAAATGAATTATAAAAATGTAATCGATCTGATATCTGAATCGATAGTCCAGGAATTAAATGGTAAGCAAATGTACCGCATTTACTGTGCGTTGGAAGGGCTACTAAGACTAAAAATTGAGGTCAATATGTGCAGTGGTTAGAGGCGCTGCTATAAGCACATGGTCGTCATTCGATCCCGTGTGTCAAGGCAGGCTAGCCCGTCCATGCCTCCGGTGCCAGACGTTTGACAGCCGACATGTTCTGCACGTATAAAAACACTGATACGATACATCGACATCGACAACATTGGCTTGTTGGTTTTTCGAACGATCTGCAAACGAAACGCAGCAAATTCCAGAGCAGTTTAGCTGGAGAGCACCTCTCGCAATACCACTTGCACTGTGTCATATCGGAAGACCGGGGAAGAAATGCAATGTTTCATGGATTTTTAGCACAGTGAAGCCGAGCAATCCG